TCTTCCCATTCCTTTCGAAGGAGCCTTTGCCTAGAAGCTTTTCCCAACTGCAGAACCTCAGTTAGGCAACGCCCATGCTCATTCCAATGTCAACCCCCTTCTCCCATTAGCTGGGAGTGCCTGGGTAGGTCCTCATCAAATCCATACTACTCCTGCCTGGCATGTTACACGTTTGTAAGTTTTATATTTATGTGTGTGTGTGTTATATTTATGTGTTTGATTAGGCTCTGGTTCTCCACTAGAGCTCAAGAGGGCAGAGACTGTTAATTTTCATTGAGACTGTAATCATTTTATCTAGCACACGCCTAGCACATCATGCTCCAAGAGTAAGTATTGACAGCACAAACTCTTCAACATAAAATCCACACAGGCACTCTAGGCTTTGGCCATGTGTGGACAGTGTGGCCAAGACGTATTGTGTAATGAGCTATGTCTTTGCAAAGCACCAACTGGAAGCTCTAGTGAGGGCCTGGCAGCTGCTCCTCCAGGTGCCAGGTGCCACCTCTTAAAGAGTAACTCTTAGGACGTTTTTAACAGTTTTATTCTTTATGAAAAATAACACACACACACATACACCCAAAAAGGAGAAAAGCAACATCTGCTAGTACTGGTGCTGAACAAGAACAGCAAGTGGAGTAGTCTGATGCCTTCCTCTTTCTTGAGGAATACATGCTATGGGTATACTCATGAATTGGAAGGTAAATAATAGCTGACATCCATGGAACTCTGACTATGGACAAGGCTTGTACCAGTGCTCACATACATTTTCTCTCAACAAACCTATTTTTATCCTCCCTTTCAGATGAGGAAATCTACCCAAGGTCACACAAGCTGTAATGCAGAGAGAGGATCTGAGGCCACATTATCAAACTCATTTCGGAGCCTGAACTCTTAATCATTATCTTTATTGGGTCCCCTGGAGAGGTCCAGAGCACACCCTTAGCAGAAACCGAGGAGCGTCTGCACTCACACACAGACTGGACAGTATCTCTGCATAGAGAGACAGTCGTCCTCTTCATCTAATGCTTTGAGTTTGAATTGAGACATTACACAACTGAAAATAGCTGAATAGCCTGCCTTTTGTTTCTTCCCTTTCCATTATATTTTCCATTTTGACACGTTTCTTAAATACAGATTGATCATCTGTCTCCCAGGTTCACAAATGTTCAGATGGTTTCTCTTTGCTTACAAGAATATAACCACCCAGCCTAGCCTCACGATCTAGCCCAGGCTCTGTCACCACTTAATCTCTACCACATCCTTCACACGGGACCCCTAAGCGATCTCTTGCAAACCCAGGACTTGTCTGCTTCCCTTCCCTGATTTGATTCTCCCATCTTGAAATCCCAGTCATCCACGGAAGCCAGGTCAACTTAAGGAATAAATGACAACAAATATTACTATTACAGGTTGAGCATCCTTAATCCAAAAATCTGAAATCCAAAATGCCCCTAACTCCAAAACTTTTTGAATACCAACATGACACCACAGGTGGACAGTTCCACACTTAACCTCATGTGACAGGTCACAGTCAAAACAAAGGCACATAACACACAGTTTATTCAGTGTTCCCAAGGGAAAAATAAAATTACCTTCAAGTTATATGTATAAGGTGTATATGAAACGTAAATGGATTTCATGTTTAGACTTGGGTCCCATCCCCAAGATATCTCATTATGGATATGCAAATATTCCAAAATCAAAAAAAAAAAGAAAAAAAATCTTAAATCCAGAACACTTCTGGTTGTAAGCATTTCAGATTAGGGATACTCAAACTGTATTTTAAAATTAATTCCAAATATTAAGTTCCATAATGCTCAAGTAAGGCTGGAGGAAAGATTAATTGAAAAAGTCTCAACCTGTAATAAACATGTGATTAGTAAGATTTTCAATAGTAGATTCAAATTCAGTTTCAAATTAGGAGAGAATATTTAATATCACCTCTAGTGGCTTGTGTTTTTCTCAGCAATTCTAAATCTACCAGAAGGCCTTTGCAGCAGTTTTCTCAAAGTGTAACAAATTCTACTTTGTATATCATCTCGTGTTTAATTATAAGGATTTGAATTTGCAGCACCAATTAATCAGTAATTAGATAGTACTGTACCAAAAGAAATTAGACAAAGATGAAAACAAAAACACAACTCAGCACAAGGCCATATCATCTGGTAACATTTCATGTAGCATGATTAAAATATTCCCTGAGAAATATAGGTTAACTGAGTCATTAGCCACGTATTCCTTTGACTTTGTTGTTGTTGTTAATGACTTTAATGCCAATGGGAAACTTAAAGGAAATCCAAGTGCAAAAACACTCTGATTATACTGATGTTTATTCCTCTTTTCATTCTTCATTGGAAATCTCTTTTTGATGCTCAACAATTATTTTGAAATGTAGCGGTAGATTTTGGGAATGCAAAATAAATGCATATTTTATAACGATACATTCTCTATTGGTTGTCATATGAAAAAGCCACATAAATCAGTATTTGAATTAATCATCAGTTAGACCTCAAAAACAAAATGTTCACCTTAGGTGTGGAAAATCAAAAAAGATACAAAGCAGATTGAGAGAGGGGAAAAAAGGTCCCTGAAACCAAGATGTGGTGGAGGAAAAAGGCATGACTGTATAGCCAGTCATTTCAGGAATCAGAGGAAGGGTGAGGGGACCTTCTTGCTACAAAGCCATGTCATTTCCCTGTACCAGGTGCATGGGCCACTTTTCCTGGTTCTTAAACCTTTGGTTAGTAAGATAAAAAAAGAGGACAGTTTGAAAGAGAAGTGAGCAGCTCCTATAATTCGGTCTTGGAAGAGATGAGGGCAGTGGCCTGCTCAGGTGTGCCCTGCTCTGGGTGATCCTGGCAGCTGGGCTTTGGGGAGGGCGGACAGGAGGCAGAGCTCCAGGGTCTGTTAGCAGGATATAGAGCAAGCCTTTGTCCCTCAAGGCCCCCATCTTATCTCTTCCCCTGACACTGAACCAGCAAAACACTCAAAATTACCTGAAGGTGCTTTATACTCTTTCCCTGGTGCTATTTCAAGAGGCCTTGCTTCTGTAAGAAACTGGCATCATCTTTACTTCCAACTGCAGGGTTCTTGTAAATATGAATATTGTAAAATCTTTAAATGATATGCCATATGAATGAGCATGTTTTTTTTCTCTACGTGTATGAAAGGGTCTTTAAAAACTTGTGTAGAGTGAACTTCATTGTACACTCTCAAGCTTGCTCTATAGACATATTTTAATTGTCAACCTCTGAAACAAGTAATTTGTCTCTTGATGGAGAAATTTGCTGAGAAAGAGCATAAGGTGCTTTGAGAAGAATTACAGAAGAATATTTCATAGATTTCCATCTCTTAGTACCATGGACTGAAGAGTAAGCTAGGCTTCATAATTTAGTGTCATGGTGGCCATCAGAGGACCAAACTGTAACAATTTTTGTAACTTCGTGATGAAATTAATTGAGCAGCCCGCTCCAAATTGGGAACCATTTTATTTTTCTGCAGTTTAAGAATTCCTTTTCCCACTGTGTTGTGAAGCTATGCTGTAAAGTTTCCATCTCTAAGAGTTCATTGCTTTTACAAATTATACTGCACACCTGTGAATGAAAGCCACATTGTCAAAGTGACAATTCATTTGTGGATATGGCTTATTAATCCTCTGTTGTGCTTCTTCAACTGTTCTCTAATTTGAAAATGTTCATCTCTCAGGAGGTGGTACAATTTATTTGATGTCAATGTACCACATAAATTTTTCGTCTCAATTTTAACTTTATTGAAATAAGCTTAAAACAAGCTGACTCCAGTCACCATGATCATTATCTTATGAACTTTTATTCAGGGCCAGCTGGCCAAAATTAATGAACCAGAGCAAGCTTTTCATCTCAATGAATGATTACCCATGTCTCGTCACTGTAACAACATGGTACCTATTCCTGTAGTAGGGTGTAGTTTCAAAAAACACTGGAGTTTAAACACCCCTAATTGCATGTCTCCTCCAGTCTCACCCATCTCAGTCAATGGCTCTGTTCGTGCTCCAGCAACACCTGGAGCCACCCTGGATCACCCCCTCTTGCTCTCCTCCCACACCCAGTGCATCAGCCAGTCCTGCCGGGTCGCCTGCCACTGGCCCCACCCCAGCCCGAGCTCCTCCCCTGGACTCCTAGCAGTCATGTCCTAACTGGCCTCCCGGCTTTTATTCTGCCTTCCCTAAAATCCATTCTCCATATAGCAGCTCAGGTTATGACACTATAAATATTAATCATATGACTTCACTAGGCCTGCTCAAGTGACTGTTAAAGCCATCCAGTGACTTCCCATTGCACTTAGAATAAAATCAAAACGTTTTATGGCCCAGGACCTTGTATGAATAGCCCTGCACTGCTCTCCCCTTCTTACACTCTTGGGTCATCCTTCAAACACCCACGCCTTCCCTGCCCTCGCCTTCCCACAAGCATCTGCCTCTGCTTGGAGTGCACCTCCCTGCCCCTCAGGACTGACTCTCACACCCAACCTCAGAGAAACATTTCCTGACCACCCAAAATGCAGCCCCCCAACAGTCAATACCACGTCAACCTGTTTTTGATCTTCATAGCACTTGGCACCATCAAAAATGATTTTGTTCCATCTGGCTTATTAGTTTACTGATGATGGTGTCTCTTCCCACCAGCTGCTAAACTCCATGAAGGCAAGAATCTTGTCTGCTGTTCACCATGTATCACTTGTACCCAGAACAGGGTCTGGCCCCTTAGCACACTCTTAATGAGTACTGGTTAGGTGAATGGTGGATGGGGGAATCCTTGTCTTCCTAATGCTGTATGACTTTGACTGCATCACTTAACCTCTTGGACTTCAGCTTCCTCCTCTATAAAATAAAGCTAACAGAGCATTGTATGTTCATGGGATAAGTTAAAGGAGCAAACATGCATGGCAGCGTGTGGTACTTTGCTTGGCCTACAGCATGGGCGTAGTTAACACAGTCACCAGTTTCTTTCCCTGTTTTACAGGAAATCTTCCGAGGAACTAGACATGGACAAGGTGACAGCTGCAATGGTACTGACCAGCTTGTCAACCAGCCCTTTGGTTCGAAGCCCTCCTGTGCGGCCGAACGGTAAGCCTGGGACGTGGGGGGTTTGGGGAAGGGCTCCTTGACACTGAGAGCAGGGCCTCTCTTTGAGAAGTTCCATTCCTGTTAAACAGAACAAACAACTAACCCCCACCCATTATCAGGAAGCAAGGGGGAAAATGGAAGAAATGGACACCCCAGAGCTGTCAGCCTCCTCATCTTCCCAGAGAGCCCACTGCAGCACATTCATGCATCCATCCATTCAGCGCATGTTTTTTGTGTTCCGTTACTTGTTTTCTTCTTTTCCAGAACACATATTTGCAGTGCTTGTATTCCTTTTTCCCAGGTAAAAGGATATAGATGTAATGAAATTATTTTCCTTAGCATTATTTCTGTTTGGGAAGGTATATGGATCAAAGAACTCTCAGAAGATATAATATTTTTTAAAAGCATTATCCTAGACTCCTTAATCAAATAGAATTATTTAGTCCATTCATTCAATATATATTTACTAGGTACCAGCTAGATGATTTGAAGATATCATTGAAAAACAGTGTCCACACACCTAGATAGTGTACAATCTCTGTAGGAAAAAAAGACTATCAGTTTTAGCCATAGTAATGGCTAGCATTTATTGAACATTTACTATATGCCAAGTACTATGCATGCTTTATCTCCTATAATTCCCACAACTCCGTGAGATGTTATTATCCCTGTTTTACAGATGAGTGAAACTTAGGCTCATAGAGATTAATTGGCTCATAAATGGCAGAACTGAAATTCTACTCCATATCTTTCTGATTCCAGATCTGTTCTCTTGATGCTGATATAACATGGCCTCATATAATCCAGTATGATAAGTCAGGAGAGTGGGCAGTGGGAGATTAAGTTAGAGAGACTGGCAGAAGATCAGGAGGGGTTGTTTGTCTGGCTAGGAGTTTGGACTTTATTCTGAGGCTGTGGGAGAACTATTAAAATAACACCAACCCTGGAAAGTTACAATCAAGTCTACCAACAACAACAACAACAAAAGACAAAGCATAGATGGTCACAATGGGGGTGAATAGGACATAATTGAGAAATGTGAAGAAGGTAGAATCAAAAGGACTTGGTGATGGACAGAGAGGATGAAGAGGAAGGTGTGTCAAGGGTGACTTCTAGTGCTTCAGCAAGGGGACACCATTACCTGAGACAGGAACCTAAGGCACAGGGCAGGTGTTTCGGGCAAGATGTGGGGTTGCTGAAGAGCACAATAGGGCCAGTTGGAACCACGTTAAGTAGGCAGTTCCTGAGGCTCGTTCAAGGGGCAACCTCTAGTGGAGACTTGGGTGCAGCCCGGAAGGAGATCTGGGCTGACAGTACAGAATGGGAAGGCAACATTTGGAAGCCATGAGAGTAAATGTGATCACCCTGAGAGAGTTGTGTAGAAGCCCAGCATGAAGACAAGATGGCCAAGAGGGAAGCAGTGAAGCTCGCCATCACCTAAGAGACTGATAGAGGAAAAAGACCCCAGGAAGAGCCTGAGGGGTGACCAGAGAGGTAGAAGAAAACTAACAGTGTTGTTTCATGGAAGCCAAGGGCAAAGCATGTTTCAAGGAGAGACGTCTGCTGCTTCAGAAGGTCACACATGAAAAGGACTGAATTTTGCATCAAAAAGAGGCCCACTGGTGGCCTTGGCAAGAGCACTCACAAAGGACTCCCCGTGGAAGGAAACCAGATTGCAGCTCACCGGAATGTAATGCACTGAGACCACTGAACGAGACTTCCCAGCAATGGAAACCTCCTCTCAAAAACCGGCATGGTCAATTATGAGATTGAGCCACAGTTCACACACAATTTGGTTGTGTAAGCATGAGATGTTAAGGTACATTTGTTGAACATCCAGTGAGTCCTCACCAAAACTTACTCCTCCCTCGTTATAAGTGGTAAGAATGACCAAGATGCTGGGAATTCCAACGGTTGTCAGGAATCAGTAGTACTCAGCAACATGATTCACCAACAAACTGGGGTGACGCCACCGCTTCACATAGCACCAGACGAAGAGCTATTGGTGAGCCTGACCACTCCTGTTCGATGACCTATCCTGAGGGCTTCTTGGCAAACAGATGTTCTGATTTACCTTCCTTAGCTTGGCAATGCTGCTAACGTAGGCTTACCGTGAAAGCAAAACTGAAAGCACTCCCAAAACATAGTCTAGGAAAAAGGAATTGCAGAAATTCCATGGGATCCTTGAAGGAGCCACACAAAAAAAGTATATTTTAAATTAATCATTGTTTTTAGCATTGAATTATTTTTTAAATTGAGAACATTTTTAGTGTTCCTTTGTATTTAAAGGTTAGAATTAAAATCAACCTTTCAGTTCTTCAATGCAGACTTTTGTTGGCACACTAATAAAGTAATTCGGTATTCATTTATGGTTTAAAAAATAACTACTCAACTCATAACCCCAAATTGTCTGCTCTCTCTCATTTAGTCTCTAACAGGAAGCAAATTCTTACATAGGGAAAACAATTTATGATAATGAAGGCTTTTTTTTTTTAGGAATAAAGATTTTGTCTAGAATTATTGTATGTCAGTGAATTTGGGGGAACTGTTATCCTTTTCTGTACCTGAGAAGGATCATTCTGTCAGGATGTGGATCTGCAAAGAGGGTGAGAGTCTTAGCAGTACCTGTCTGCATTCTTGGCAAATACTTGTTTAATACAAGGAGACTCTGTCCCCTAAGAATATTATGAATTGGTCCTGACTTTTTGCTGAAAAATTTATTTCTACATCACTTCAGTCCCTCTGATTAAATAGTGTTTCTAAAGGAAATGTCATTCACAAGTCAGTAAGCAAATTAACTTTTGGCATTGACATGAAACCGTGTAACCACAATGTAATAATAGTTGGTTCTCAAAATAAATTCAGTTCCTCATACTTACCATGATTATATATCTAGCACCATGAACTTTATTTTATTTTACAAGTGCATTCTGCAGTATATTTATAAATCACCTGGGCCTGCCAAGTAAGTTTTTCACACAGGTAATATCACCTAAGGCCTTACATTAGGCTCCTCTTCAAGTCCTGTTGTATTGGATGGAGTTTTCTTGTCTGTAATAGGCAACTCTGGCTGAGGAGTGCATCAGTCTCTCCAGACTGCAGGGAGCAAGATGATAATTTGGTTTTGTTGACGCTGGCAAGGCATGAGCCTGCATAAATGACCATTTGATTCTAAAAGAACTTTGCTGTAATGAGATGGGTAACTTAGTTCTATTTCTACTTAAAACTTCACTCCTCTCACTTACCTTTTTGGTTGACATAGTTGAGGAATACGGTGGAAATCTATAATTCGGTGAAGATAGTTAAGAAATTTCTCCGTGAATGCTAGTCTACCATTTGTCTTCATTACTAATTATACAGACGTTAACAGTATTTTTTTAATGAGGTATTTTGGGATTTTTTCCCCTCCTTGTAGTTAGACTATAGTTTTAATATATTCAAAATGCACATAAATATGGAGGAGAAATTATCCAAGAAGAAAGTAGAATTTACACAAATGCTAATTGAGATTGCGCGTCTTGAAAGGTAAAGCAAATCTTCAGTGATTAAAAGAATACCCAGAAGACATCCTAACTGGGCAAAAATCTCTCTACATGAGCAAACATTTCATAATGTTTTTCATCACAAGTGGAAAGGTAAAATCTAACACCAGTCTTATCGGTAATTATTGCCAGCAAATTCTTATCCTATCCCAACTTTGCCAGAGAGACAGGAGGATGTTCACAGCCAAGGGCCTGCATGCACTGAGGGAAGAGGGCCAGCTAGCAGGCCGGCTTAGGCCTTGGGCCCACCAGGTACACTTACTAGTCACCTGGCAAGTCACTTCCTGCTGCCTCAGGGGCCTCATCTCTAAAATGGGCATAATAATCCTTACTCTGAGAGATAGATGTTGTGAGCATACTTGAGATCATGCAAATGAGCTTTGTAAGCTATGAAACACTCACAAAACCTAAGGCACGATTATTTGTTATAATAAGCAGAAAATGGGGAAATGGCTTTAGATAACTATCCAGAAATTATTTCTCTTAGATTCTTAAATTGTAAACTAAACTTCCTATAAATGTATTCTAAGGGCTAGGCGTAGTGGCTCATATCTGTAATCCTAGCACTCTAGGAGGCGGAGGCGGGTGGATTGCTCAAGGTCAGGAGTTCAAAACCAGCCAGAGCGAGACCCCATCTCTACTAAGAATAGAAAGTAATTGGCCAACTAAAAAATATATAGAGAAAACATTAGCCAGGCATGGTGCTGCATGCCTGTAGTCCCAGCTACTCGGGAGGCTGAGGCAGGAGGATCATTTGAGCCCAGGAGTTTGAGGTTGCTGTGAGCCAGGCTGATACCATGGTACTCTAGCCTGGGGAACAGAATCAGACTCTGTCTCCAAAAAAAAAAAAATGTATTCTAAGAATTACAGTCCTATAAGAAATGCCATTAAAAAAAAAAAAAAAAGGTTGAAATTAGAGGGATAGGAGCTGAGAGGAAACTCCATGACCAATTTGGGAGAACACTGCAAATGATATTGCTCTCTTAGAAATACTGTAGTCACCAAACCCAGAGCTCCTCAAACTTGGTGAACAAGAAAATCTCTTTTTCCCCCCTTTGTTTCATATAATCCCCACTCTCATTCCAAGGAGCCAGTAGTGTTGCACGATATAACACACATCAGAAAACTCTTGGAAAAACCTATTATCATGTGGTTAAAATAACTAAATGTTTATAAACCGTGATGTGACTTTTGGGAAGGGGAGGGGTGTGTGTGTGTGTGTGTGTGTATAAATAGAATAAATGCTTCCATACCCAGCTGCTGCAGATTATTGAGCGGGCTGCGGGTGGTTTCGCCTGGAATAGAATCAAGGTTCCGTTTCCCCCTTGTGTCTGTGCACGCAGAGGGCCTCAGCGGATCCTGGAAGGAGGCGGGCTGCGTGCCTTCCAGCAGCAGCAGCAGCGGCTACTGGAGCTGGAGCGCCCCCAGCGACCAGTCCAACCCGTCCACGCCGTCGCCGCCGCTCTCGGCCGACAGCTTCAAGCCCTTCCGCAGCCCCGCGCAGCCGGACGACGGCATCGACGAGTCGGAGGCCAGCAACCTGCTCTTCGACGAGCCCATTCCCAGGAAAAGAAAGGTTGGTGTGCCGGCCGCCCCGTTTTCCGCGCCGAGTTGGGTGCAGGCGGTTCCCGTCCCCTCTGGAGGGCCCGTGTGAGCTTAGGAAGGGCTCCTGCGACCCACGCCCCCTTCCCGGGAACAGGAGCAGCCCACGCCCCCACTTGGATGGTCTTTGAAATTTCAAAATAAATTGTCATCATTAAAGACAATTGAAAAGGACTAACATAACCTGATAGAAGGGTTCGAAATGAAACAAAAAAAAAGAAAGAAAAAAATATATTTTAAAAAAAAGTAAAAAATTATATAAAAAAGAAAACAAAAAAATAAAAATAATAAAAATAAAAGGACTAACATATTGATACATTTCCTCAAAGTACACACATGCCCCTTCCTCTGGTTACACATTGCTAACCCAAGACTCAACCAGTGTTTGGAAGTTAGAAAATTGGACTGTAGGCTTGGTTTGGTATTAACTCAGTCTCTTTGTGGGATTTATTATGAATATATGTGAAATGTAATTAATATCTTTTTCTCTTTTCTGCTTTAATCAGCCCTGAAGGGTTATCGGGAAGAATATTTCATATCTCATTTTTATACAACCATATGTAAAATATGCATGAAAGCTGACATATATGTCCATACTTGCATATAGAAAATTATGTATTTACTAAATAAAAAGGACAGCTAATTAATTGATTTAATAAATTGATTGCACTTTTATTTAATCCTCCCAGCAGTCCTAGGTAAGTGTTGTATTTCCATCTTGATATATGCAAATTGAGAACCAGGGAGAGTGTGCATTTACCTGGCTCCTGTCGGGCCTGTTAGAAAGGGTTGGAGCCATCATTCAAACCCAGATCTGCCTGAAGCTAAAGCTCATATTCTTTTCATTCTCCTCAGGTGTATTTAAATTATTATGTTCACTGACACTTTTTCAAAAACATTTTTATTTTATACAGTAAAGCAATACTGCCACTAAATCTAGAAGACATTTTGGCATTATTTTAAAAAATCACCATGCAAATATGAAACGTATTTTATAGATTCGTTTTTAAATGTTCTATTAGTGGTAGCCTCATTATTAATGACCATTCACAAACAAACATCCAATGCAAAGCCGTGAGGACTGCAATGCAACCTTTTTCCTCCCCCAGTTCACTTTAAAGAGGAAAACAAAGAGATGGCATTGATCCAACACCTTCTCTCCCTGCCTCTCTCAGCATCACTCAGCAGGTGTGACAGTGGAGGTGGGACAGGCATTGTCCTCCTGGGTGTGTCCATGGGAATAAGCGCCAACATTTTTTGCCCAGAGAAGAGGACATTAATGTTGCCCTTGCCCTTCCCAGAGGCAGTGACCTGAAGGTTGCTGTTTCACACCAGTTCATCGTGCAGGGGGGCTGGGGTTATTCTGGCATCCTGTGGGTCCCCAGGGATGCTGCCCAATCAGCGAGAGAGGCTGGCACTTGTATCGGTGGGTACCTGCAGGCGGAACAGCACTGTGGACCTGAAGTCTTGTCCTGTTGCTTCCGGCTGCATAGACTTTCTCTCTGGAGTTACCTGAGTGTGTAGTCCTGATTCTCACCAAGCATGGCCCAGTGTTGTGGCAGGGACTCACATCACAGGCAAGGTGCATTGCTGAAAGCCTATCACAGCTTTGCATTTCTAATGTAGCGGGTGAGCCAAAAATCACACTCTTGCATTACGATTAGGTTGCATTAGTCAGCCTCATTAAAGGTCCACAGACTTTAACTAAATTAGGGGATAGGCTAGTCACCAACCAGAAAAAAAAAAAAGTGGCATTTTTTTTGAAGGGCACAGGTCTACTCCACAAGAGCTGGATAGTAGGAATGAATGAATCAATAAGGACTGTGTTTATCCTTCCTTCTTTATGACTTCTTCCTTTATTCAGGCTCTGGACTTCCCAAGGGCGATACCAGTAGGATGAAGCTCATGGCTACTAATGCATGATTTATACACAGACCAAGTTGTTGCCTTGGCCTTTTGAACTTAAAGTTACTTTGAATACTGAAAATAACAAGAAAGTGAGACTGTTGCTAATCAGTTTTTATTTATTATTAATAAGGAAACCAATATTTACTGAGCATCAGGCAAAATGCTTATTGCCCTAAGAATAAGGTATAGCTCCCTTCCTCAAGGTGTGGCGAGTGGGCTGGGTGGAGACTGATAGGTACAGAGGCGATAATAATTGTGAGTGACAAGTGCTGTGTCCATGATGTGGTAGAACACAGTAACCAAAATACAGTTAATTTAGAGTTCTTTAAAAATCGTATTTCAGAAGATTTCTAAGAGTTAATTTGCTTAAACCAGACACTATGTTCCAGTTGGTAGAACTTTCTGAGTTCATTAATTTTCCTCTCCATTCCCTTAAATTCATAATATTCATTTGAAACCATGAGTGATTGCCATGGTCACATGTTCTGGGGATTGTTAGAGAACCTTCTAGATCAATGTTTTCCAAACTTTAAGTCTTAATCCACTAGTGGGTTGTGAATGAATTTAATGAGTTGCGAACAGCACTCTTTAATTGATAGGACAGAATGAAGTGCATTGTACCTGATAAGGGTAAGTACTGTTCCTTGATGTTTTTGTATCAATTGTATATTTATGAGTGAGTGTGTAGTATGAAAAACTGTATTTCTTACTGTGGCTCATTGTCAAAAAAGTTTGGACGCTTCTATTCTGTGTCATAGAGATATAATAAGACATATGGCAAATTAAGATGCCCTGATTGGAAATCAAAAACTCCCATGTTCTTGACTGAACTCTGCTGTCCTGAGAACCTAAGAAAATCATTTCACCTCTCTGATCATCAGCTTCTCCATCCGTAAAAGAGGCAAACAGGTATCATTACACGTCTCTCAGCACAATCATGAAGATTAAATGTGATCATAAGTACTGGAATGTGGCAACATTTTAATAGATAGTTTAGGACCTCTGAGCCAAGGAGGCGGGGCCTTGCCTATATCTATGAAGCAATTATCCTGATCTTCCTCCTCATTGTGGAAGCAATCATATCTCTTCTCCCACCTCCCCACAACACACACAGAGCCCACTCCCACCTCTTAAGGAGACCCAGGCTCCACTTATGCAAAGATGAGAATGTGAGGCGCATTGCATAGGGGGAGACATTATCTCTTACTGTCAGTGGTGAGGAAGGAAGATTCACTGATAATCACTACATTTGCATATTTAGTTACAGTTTACCAAATGCTTTTATTTATTATATTTATTTTTTTATTTTTTTGAGACAGAGTCTCACTTTGTTGCCCAGGCTAGAGTGAGTGCCGTGGCGTCAGCCTAGCTCACAGCAACCTCAAACTCATGGGCTTAAGCAATCTTCCTGCCTCAGCCTCCCAAGTAGCTGGGACTACAGGCACGAGCCAACATGCCCGGCTAATTTTTTCTATATATATTAGTTGGCCAATTAATTTCTTTCTATTTATAGTAGAGACGGGGGGTCTTGCTCTTGTTCAGGCTGGTTTCGAACTCCTGACCTTGAGCTATCCTCCCGCCTCGGCCTCCCAGAGTGCTAGGATTATAGGCTTACCCAAATGCTTTTAAATGCAGCCTTTCATTTAATCATCACCAGAATCCATATTCCTATCCCCATTGTGCAGAAGAGGGTCATTGAGGTTATGTGAATTGTCCGAGGTTGTGTAACTTGTGATGTGGCAGAGATAAGATTAGCTGAAGGAGCAAAGAGGAAACTCTCTACAGGCAAGTTAATTCAAGGGATCCACATTTCTCTCTGCACACAGAGGAGAGTAACAGGGAGGGAAACTAATCAGACACAGCTACAGCCAACACTCCATGGCAGGTGGGAGCAGGGTGCGGACGGTTCAGAAAGAAATTGAGAGCAGAGACAGGAACTCCAGACTGCCTGCTGGAGGACTCACTTCCTACGTGAAGCATCCATCGCTCTTAAGAGAACCTGCAGCCAGAGCAGGTGAGAAGTGAAATGAAAGCCTTTTCTCTCAACTTTGGAGGTTGGCTGGACAACTTTGTCAAGCCCAGTTCTAGCAGGATTTTGCCTCTGGGATTTCAAGACGGACTGACAGAACTTCCAAGCTCAGAATAAACCCCAGTTGTGTGAGCCGGGACGCTGCCTTTGGGGAGGTGCAGTTCCCATCATGACCACAAGGTGATGCAGTGACCCTAAATACAGCCACTCTATGAGTGTCACTGGGAGAAATGAATTTTATGGAAGGCCAAGAGTTAACCATCAATTCCACAAGACAACTAGAAAAATCAAGAAATGCTGATAAGTTATTATTGATGTGCTCTTTTCCATGCCATATTCCTGATTCTATCAGATTCTGGATTCTGTGCATTCTGAAATTGGCGTGATGGCTCCAGTACTTACGTGACCTTAAGCAAGGCACTTGGCCTCTCTCAGAGGTAAGATGTGGACAATGGTGGCACCATATTGATGTGGCTGTTATGAAGAATATTTGGGAGGACACGTGAAGAGCAATAAATGTTAGCTGCTAATACTTTTTTTTTTTGACCCATTTGGCAACTGCCTGAATGGGAAATCTGAGAAGCATGGGTGTGGAGAGAAGGGGGTGCTTGCCCCCACCCTCCAACCTCCACCCTGACCCACATCGACTGTGCCAATGCCACAGTGGCTCAGGACGACTCTGGACCCCCCAGCTACCCTGCGCTCATGTTGGGGGTGCATTGAGAGGCCCCCGTAAAATGCACTGGGTGAGCGCAGTGTGGCAGTAGCAGAAATTGGGGGCATACAAGGAAGCCTGACTCAGGACTCCACTTCTCAGAACATCAGCAGCAAAACCTCAAAGGCAGTCACTAAATTCCAGCCTTCATCCTTTTCATTTACTTCACAAGCGTTTTGGCCACGAACAGTTTCACCTGTATACTGGGGAGAACCTCAAGTCAGAGAAGAAGGCGCCGAGTTGACATAAGGTGCTTCAGGAATAGTCGTACAGTAGTAAACAATGAATTAATCATTTGCTCCACTCTGCATTTTCCATCTTT